CCCCGCCGCTGCCCAAGACGACCCCCCGAGGCGGAAAGAGGAAACACAAACCTCAGCCTCCAGCCCAGCCCCCGCAGCAGCCGCCCCCGCAGCAGCCCCTCCCCCAGGAAGACGAGGTCAAGGCCAAAAGGCAGAGGAAATCCCGAGGGAGTGAGAGCGATGTCCTTCCCTAGGGTGGGTCTGGGCGTCTGCACCTGGGGCTGGGGGGACTGACACATTGGAAGTGCAGCGAGCCGGGTGGGGGCGGAATCCCCCCTTCAGGGACACCGATGCCCATCTCCAGAAGCTGGGCAGGCAGCATCGGGCCAGATGACTGGGCTGAGCCGTCAGGAGCTCTTGGGAAAGCAAAGCAGGGGGACACCTTCAAAAGCAGCCTGTCTGTGCGCCACGGCGGTGCCCGACCAAGGGGCGCCTCGGCATGGCTAGATCCTCTGCAGGCGAGAGAAGACCCCTCCAGGAGGAGAAAGCTGGTCTGACGGCCACCTGACCTCCCTCATCCGAGGTGCGCCCTTGATTCCCATTTCGTTTGCTTGGCCAGGAAAATCGAAAGGGAAACACTCCCAATTAGGAAACATTCCAAGGAGGAAAGAGCCGCAAATTTCTCAACTGGCTTTGTTGTAACCCACTTCTATTTAATTGGTTTTTATTTCTTCTGGTTTTCAAGCTCTGCTAGGCTTTGGGACACCAACATTATCGTCAGGTGACCCGGATCGTTCCGTTAACAATACAGTTTCTCAGATGAAATAATGGGATCAGAAGGTGGAATTCTAGTGATAGGCGACCTTAGACCTGCATTCATCTAATTCTGTATGCTTCCTCTATCACACATACACTGATTTTTAGCATCATCCGGTTCTACTTTTCCTTTGCCCATTGTACTTCCATGTACCTTTATATTAACTTACTTGCTGCCTTCTTTTTCTTGATACCTATCTGCGTAGTGTAAACCTTACCTGTGTTGTAAAGTTCACCCTTGGCATTCTGTCCCGAGGAACTTGGCTTTGAATCCCAATCATTGTGAAAAAGATACACAGTATTGATAGAGCTTTTTAGTAAGTGACTCAGAGCAGCCAAGGATATGTTGACTGAGGTGTCAACCAGGTTATTTTTATACTTAAAATATATCAGCAGAGAACAAGCAGAATAAAATGATTTTAATATCCCACAGCTAATGGAATAACTGACAAATTGCCAAAAACTGAAACCCCAGACCCACCAGAAAGACAAGTGTCTAGCATTGCCTTGGTATGTGATCTTTTTCATACAAATAATTATCCTAGGTTGTTGAAAAAAGGAAAACAAAAAGAAAATAAAAGCCCATTATCTCTTGATAATTATTTCTTAAAAGCAAATGAGAGTAAGTGTTCTTATCTTAAAAAAAAAAAAAGAAAGAAAGAAAATGCTCAAAGGGGATCACCACTCCAATTGTATCAAGCCGCCTTGGACAAAGGATCCAAATTGTGGTTGCCTTAATAAACTAAAACATTTTTGTACATAATGTAATTATAATTCTATCAGTCTGCATGGATGCAAACTGTGTGTGACAAATCGTCTTTTAAATGGTCGATTTCAACTGTACATTTCTCATCCGAGTTGTACTCTAGCCATTGGTTTAGCGTGGACTGATATTCCATCTCTATTATCCATTTCCGCAGCCCAAGTAAAACATGTTAAGAAGACTCAGAATGAATATGAAGTTATTCCATTGCAGTAGATGTTTTTTAAAAGTCAGATGTGGAAATTTCCAATAAGTATTTTCAATTTCTTCCCTCACTCCTCCCCTTATCTTCCCCAAGACATCAAACACCTGGCATGATAGATTATAGAAAGAGAGACACCAAGAGAGAGAATTAAATTTTCTAATGCGAATGAAAAGATCTTGTTTACCTCCAAATTAAGTTTCTTTACAGAAAGTTTGGACAAGCTTGTATTATCACTCAGAACACAATATTATTTCATTAGAGACAGATGGATTTTTGTTGGGAACATAAGAGAATAAGTGATGGGGTATATACAAAAGTAAATTTTAAAATCCCAAGTTAATATGCTTGCAAACATCACTGCTCCATCATGGCAGCAACAGTTGGTTGAAATTACCCACAGAGTCATCCTGTTCTGCACTGTCACCACGGATTTCACATCACATGCTACCCACTAGGTCGTATTCAATCCTAGCAATATGTAAGTTTAAAGAACTGCATTCCCTTGTACATTAAAGCTTATATCCTAGATACTCAGTTTGTGACCTGGGTTAACCTTTGGCATTTCACACAAGTTGAACAGCAAAATCAAACCAGTCATTTTCAATTTGTCATTCCCAAGCCATGTCTGAGTGGTTCCAAAGTCACCCGAGGGGAAGGTTTAAATTAGCCCCTCTCACCCCACCATTGCTATGAAAGAGCAACCATTTTCACTCCAATTAAGCCATAAGAGGTTTCTCTTCCTGCTGGAACTTGAAAATCATTTCCTTCACTCTTTCTTTTGCCCTTCCACCTTCCCATGTTCTACTGTCTCCCCAACCAAGTCTGTAAACAGACTAAATCTAACAGAGGAGAACAAGCTGGCACATGATAAATTTCTTAAAGGAGGACCCAAAGTTTAATTGGCCTCAACCTCTAGTAGGAAAGAAATTCCAAACAACTTTGGGACATATTAAAATTTCCATGCCGATGAAAGATATTCCAGGAGAGATACAGTGGAGTTGCAACTTACATATGAATTTGCATCTACAGTTATCATGCCAGTTAAATGCAAATACTCTACATGTCGACTCTCAGAAGAGATTGGAAAATTGCAGAGGAACAAAGCTGAGGCATACTAAACAGCTGCTCAGAGGTGGAATAATGTCCACTCACCTACACAGCTGCCTCTCTCCACCACCCATTTCCTCTACCAGTATCACGTTACTTTTTTTTCCCCCCTTTTGCTTTTCATTAACCTAACTCACCTCATTGGTACAACCATTTCTGTACTCTCTACCATCTTTCCTTTAGCCTCTCCTCTCCTGTCATTACTTTTTTTTCCCCCCTTTTGCTTTTCATTAACCTAACTCATCTCATTGGTACAACCATTTCTGTACTCTCTACCATCTTTCCTTTAGCCTCTCCTCTCCTGTCCAGGCTCAACATTAGCCCAATCTGGTTTCACATTTAGTTGGTTGCAGAGCCAACGAGAGAACCCAAATGTCTTGACCCAGATTGTGGAGGTCTTTGGCGACCCCATGCTGTCTTCTGAGACTGCCTTTTTGTTTGGAGAGGAGATCATTTGGGATGCACAAGACTCCATATATAGCTCTACAAAATATTTTACAATAAGAGAAACACCTCAATTTTCAATTCTTATTCTTTATTCTTTTTTTGGAATACTCGTCTTCAGCAAACAGCTGTTGACCCAACTTATGAGAAGTTTGATTAGAGCTGAGAAAAGGATGAAATCTAGATATAAAAGCCTTCTTAAAGGTGATGACGGATCTTTAATCTACCTTACTAAGTGGCTGGAGGCCACTTGCTTTTCAACCCCTCAACTCAAATGAGAGGAACAGAAGTTTAACTTCCTCAAGGAGTCCAGCTCTGGCCACAACCCAAGGAAGAAATGTTGTAGGAAAGGAGCATGTCTAGGGATGGTTTGTGTCTTGGTAGGACCGGGACTCAGCAGCCACTGATAGCCCAAAGAAGGTGACTAAGGGCTGGCAGAATATTAGCATGTTAGCTTGGCTGCTATTCTGAGTAAGAAGCCGTGTCCAATGGTAGTCAGAATTTGTGCACATTGCTGGGCCTATAAATATGATAAGCAAGTGGTGACAGAATTATAGTATAAGGTGATGTACTACATACAGATCATAAAGGATTTGGTTTTAGGACTTAAATAGAAAATCCCGCTCCTAGCTTATTGCCCAACAATATTTAGATAAAGAGCTTTTGGAGAATATTTTTTTCCCTATCACTAGGAAGATTTACCTGGGAA